TATCATCAGGCCGAATTCCACCACGGATGCTCTGTCTAAGTGCATGTGTGACTAAAGAATTCTGTCCCTGGCGTATTTAACTACAAAAAGAGAAAGGATTGGAAACTAGATAATCTTCAAGCTCCTTTCCACTTTGGACTTTAGGGACATCTTTGAGTATAGGATTGGTCTAGAATTCCAAGGAGGTGTCCCTTTCAGAAGTCCTCAAGTCCAGGAGGAAGAGAGAGCCCGGGAGGTGAGGGTCTGAATTGTTTTCTGTGGGAGATGCTTGGAATTGACTGCCTCAGGTAGATGTTTCTGGCTGGCATTGGGCCTGTCCACACCCGGCGCTGGGTCACCGCCTCCCACACTAGCCTGGTGACTGGGGCTGGAATGCTCAGCACTGCTGGGTGGTGCAGGGAGGCTGAGAGCTGCTCAGGCTGGCTGATGACTGGTCAACGCCTCAAGTCCCCAGACAGTGCCAGGAAGTTCGCCAGCTCGGAATGTGACGATTCACTGCACCCAAGCCTGCTCAAACCTAACTTGTTACTGGGACAGGAGAGTTTGCCGATAAGCACATAAATCTCTCTTGTTTAAAAAGAAGTTATATGTATGATCATACATAAACTTTATACTTATAAAGTGTGTGCATGATACTCTTATAATGTGTATGCATAAACATTTCTAGATGTGTGTCATTTATTTTTGATGTTAAATTATACATTAGAATATCTTCCCAGGCTCCCTTTAGGCCAGGAATGGAGGGGAGGTTTCCTTTTGTTTTTCTTCACTTTGTGCCTTTCTGTTCATTTGAATTTCCCTACAGTGTGCTTGTATTCCTTTTATTTTTCTATTTTTAAATGTGATTTATTAATGGGGCAATGTTAGGCTCATGACAAAAATGAGTGCCCGTGTACAGCCTGCCCACTGTCAGCTCTTCACACCAGACTGGCCCGTGTGTGCTCAATCTAATCAAACCTGCGTTGATGCATCTTCACCCATAGTTGGCGCTGAACTCACTTTGGAAGTTGTCTAGCCCGTGGGTTTGACCTATGTACCCAGCAGTTCAGTATCTTTCAGCAAAGCTACGTGGCCTTGAAGATCACCTGTGTTCTGCTTATTCATCCCTCTAACTCTTGGCAGCTATGATCTTTTCACTGTCTCCATAGTTCTGTTTTACCAGAGTGTACTATCACAGAGATCATGCACCTTGTTGCCTTTTTAGATTAGCTTCTTTCACTTAGTGGTAGATATTTAAGTTTCCTCCGTGTTCATGACTTGCTAACTCCTTTCTTTTTCACACTAAATAATATTCCGTCATCTGAATCTACCACAGAGCTGTGGTCCATTCCCCTACTAAAGAACATCTTGGCTGTTCCAGGTGTTGGCATTTTCGGCCCACTGGGGTAAAATATCAGGGATTATGAGTCCTATGGTGAGACTACGTTTAGTTTCTTAAGAAACTGCCAGACCGTTTACTACGTTTAGTTTCTTAAGAAACTGCCAGACCGTTTTCAAAGGGGCTAGAGTATTTTGCATTCCAGCAGCAATGAATGAAAACTTCTGTGCTCTGTAGCCTCATCAGTAATTGGTGCTGTCACTGTTCGGATTTGGGCCATCCTGATAGGTGTAGTGATATCCTGCTGTTGTTTTAATTTGTAGTTTGCTAATGATGTGTGATATTGAGCAGTTTTTCTTATGCTTATCTGCCATCTGTCTATCTCCCTTGGAGTTTTTTCAATATTTTGGATAGCAGAGTCCTTTGTCAGAAGTGTCTTTTGTAAACATTTCCTCCCAGTCTGTGACTTCTTTTATTAAAAAAATATATATATGTGTATATGTACGTGTGTATACTTATATATATCAGCAGAAGTCATCTGAGCTTAGACTCTATATTTAAATTTTTGTATAAAATCAGGTAGAGGCTATAATGATGAAAAACGCATGCACTGATGAATACTTTAACCGCCTGGCGGAGGCAGGAGCCTGGACAGCTCATCTCCCATATGCATCCACTCTAATCCAGCCCTGGGGCTGGCTGGCCTGGTGGAGCACGGGCAGTCTCCTGGCTATTTATAGCATAATGCTAATGCCAGGCTTTGGGCTGTGCTGCCTTGGACTGAATGGACCCTGTGTGAGCTATTTGAATCTTGGAAGAACTACTGTGGTCTCCTGGGAGCTCAGAAATCCCCACCTGAATTGAGCCTTTTCAAAAGTTGTTTTTTCCCAAACCCTAGATATCTGACTACTGAGTTGAGGCTACTAGATGGGGATTGGGCACAATGGGAGGGGGCCAGTGGACTGAGGTGGAGGAGTTACCAGTGCTTTGGTGGTGGTGTGCTAACATACATCTGAAAAGGTTTGAACCTGTACCCCTAAATCATAACAGTGTTTTAACTAATGTTACCTTGATTAAAAAAAAAACAAAACACTATTACAGGGAAAAAACGTTTTTTAGTAGGCAACACAAGCATGTGGCCAAGAATGCAAATTTTCATAATAAGCTATATCCGCCCCGGTCTTCTGCTCCAGAGGCAACCTCAGTTACCCAGGTCCCTATTTATCCTGCTAGGGACAGTCTTGTGTTTGAGTGTATGTCTCACGAAACTTGTGTGTTCTGTTTCCTTTTTTAAGTTAGCTTGAGAATATTTGTCACTTCAGTAGAGAGCTGGCTAATTGTAAATGCAGCTACAGAGCCCCCATGGCGTGGGCCTGTTGAGATTTATTTAACCAGCCTCTTACAGGTGGACATGGAAGGGTCTGTTGTTGCCCAGTAAAATCCAGGTCCACGCATAATTTCGTACAGTTGTGGGTCCAGGACAGAGACGTCCCAAAGTTGTGTCTGGGCCAGAGTGTTATTTATTTATTTTAAAGAGTTGTTTATCTATGCATATAGAACTAAGGTATAAGCCAGAGGTGCAGGGGTGGTGAGAGGATTCACCAGAGACAGAGTGGGGAGCAGAACAGGTGGATGGATGAAGTTCCCTGCTGAGGGGAGCAGCGGGCAGGTCAGGAGAGGTCTGCCGCGCCATGTGGTCACCTCTGGCGGGGATCAAACTTCGCTGAAGCAGCCAGGGCCAGCTTCAGTGCAGCATCCTAACCCGCTGCACCACCAGGGAGGGTCCCAGAGTGTTATTGGTAAATGTTGACCTCTCTGTATTTTTCATCGGTGAGTGTCAGCCTATTAGTGAGGGTGAGTGCTGCACTTCCGTATCTGTTACTACCTGTTCACAGCATTTTGAGATGTTCACGTGGTTATGGGGTTTTTCCTTATATATCATTTCCCCTAAGTTTGGGATTTGTTTTGTCCTTTGTCTTATTTTCTGTTTGTGTCTCATCGTGGAACTTTAATTTTGTCTTTGGGACGTAGGGCTACTTTTTACATTTAAATCTTTGCTCTAACTGAAATATATTTGGTATCCAGCTTTCATTTTGTTTTGATTTCCCCCCCATCTGGCTGGGGGTCTCTGTCGTGAGCTTTGTTGTGGTGTTGGTCTCCAGAGAGTAGTGTCGGGGCACAGCTGCGGTCCACCCTTGTCTCCCTTAGGGTGGGTCCTTATCCTCCCATCACAATGTTCCAGGCTCATCCCTTATTCCAGTCTCCAGGTGGGTCGCACCAGTAAGGCCTCAGATTCAGACAGAAGGCACCGCCCGGGGACCCCCAAACTAGCTCACCACTGTGCATGGGAAAGGGACTTTGACCTGCCTTTGGGCCCAGTGGCAGGAAACCAGCTCCACCTCTCTTCAAGGTCACTAGGCCATTGTTTGGCTCTCCCTTGCTTTGGCTGCAGTCGCCTCTCACCCACTGACCAGCACCCACCACCATACCCAAAGGACTGAAAAGCAGGCCCATTTAGGAAGTGGCACAAAAGTGGTAGCCCACTTAGGAAGTGCCTTAGCTTCCTTGAGAACAATACTCTGAGTTCTCCAAGAGTTATGAAGGGCAACTTGAATCTTGCAGGACAGTGACGTCCAGTGCCATGGCTCTCCAGGTGGGGGTCCCCAGGCCAGCAGCATCACCTGGGTCATGTCCTCCAGGTGGTTCTGATGCGCATGGCAGTTTGAGAACCTGTGGTTAAGCTGGCGTAGGGCCAGCGGCAAGGAGGAAAACCTCACCTGGAGTGAGCAGGTGTGACACACACCCTCTCCTATCACTGGGAGCCCCTACAAATTGCTGCAGCTGCTAGTTGGCAAGAATGGTGTCTGAGTGGCTAGTGTCACAGCAGGGCTGTGTACCTCCTGGGCAGTTTGAGTGGCATGAAGCAGAGGGCTCTGTATAAAAAGGCGCTTTGTGAGAGCAAGTACCCACCGGCCCCAGCAGGGAAGTGCCGGGCTCCAGTCTTCTTCTTTCCTTACTATTGAGCTCAGATCACTTCCCTCTCTAAGCGCTAGCTGCCTCACTTGCCCTGGTTCTAGAACCCAGGTCAGATGAAACCTCCTGAGGTCCTTTCTTGTTTCTAGGAATGACGATTCCATACCAGGTTCCTTCCCCCATGAACCAGAGCTTGGAAAATGAAAGGCCTGGCTTGGGGCAGACCCATTGTGGAGGCTGCAATGGAGAGTTCAGGGTTCTATAGGCAGAGCCCAGGAAGACAGGGTAGGCTGTAGCTACTGCTACTGCCGGGTGGACAGCAGCGTGGACACTGGAAGATAAAGATCTGAACCCCTGCACTCGGGTTCTGCCCCCACCGGCAGCATCTCTTGTCAGAGAGGTTGGAGTGGGGTTTTGGTGCCAGGGGTTTTCAAGGAAACCCCCGGGGTGGGTGGTGATTGCTATAATAGTGGGGGGCCTGGGCATGAGTCTGGGCCTAGAGATGAGCCTGCCCAGCTGCTATTTCTAGCTGGATCCCCGGCCGGAAGAGGGTAAGCTGGCTTACTACAGGTCAGGCCTGCTGCAGCTTCTCCTGTGGGGGGACCTGGCAGATTGAAACACCAGGTTTCAAACTTGTGTCTGTGGGTGTTGCTGCTGTTGGGGGAGCTCTCGGCAGAGCCTGAGCCTGCTGCTTCTTCTTCCCTTTCAGATCCAGCCATGAGCTACCCAGGCTACCCCCCACCGGCTGGCGGCTACCCTCCAGCTGCACCAGGTAAGAGGCAGTTGAGAATGCCCTTCTGCCCAGTGCCCAGGTCTGGAGGGGGCAGGAGTTCTGGTGCTGTCCTGTCATTTCCGTAGTCCCGTCAGCCCCCAGGAATGTAGCCCAGCACCGGGAGGGGCTGGAAAGGGGCCTGGGCATGGGACCAGAAGGGGTGTGGTCTGGAAACTGGTTCTGGAAGGCCAGGGCCAGGTCTCGTGCCTGATGACTGACAACTGTGGGCAGATGCCTGCTCTCTCTGAAGCTCAGTTTTCTCCATTGCAAATGGCTTCAAGGATCTCTTTCTCACCCGGCTGTCCAGGAGACCAATGGGACAGCCAGGTAAACCTTTGGCACCGTGTCTTCCAGAGCACCGTCAGGTGACCGTAGCCCTCGACACTTCTCCTACCTGGTGCTCCAGGTACATGGCTTTATGGTGGCAGGCTTCTGTCACCAAGCGAGGAGGTGGAGAAGCCATTAAAGATTAGATGACACCTCTGTGGCCGCCTGAAGCTGTGGGCCCACGGCCCATAGTGGGGCTGCCCCATCCAGGCAGGAGGTCAGAACCTGCCCTGCCACGCTTCTCCTCACATTCAAAGATCATAGGCTGTGCTCCTGGGTCCTCCTGGGTCTCTGAAAGGAGATTGGGCCCCCGTGGTAGAAAAGGGCTCAGGAGGGCTCCTGGGACAAGAGAGAGGAAAGGAACAATTCCAGGTGGCACTGGGGGGAGCCCTGTGGGATGGAAGAAAGACAGCTCTGGAGTCCAAGTAGAGAGAGAGAGAGAGAGAGAGAGAGAGAGAGAGAGAGAGAGAGAGAGACCTATAGCGGGCTTGCCCCTCTGGAGATGCAATCCGCCCCCCCCCAACCTCATTTATTTGGTATCCATTCAGGGAAGGCGGGCAAGTGGGGAGGAATGTGTGGGGGAATGCGCATGGTGGGGATGTGGGCTGGGGGCACCAGCTGGGGGAGTAACTAAGGGCTGTTGCCTGGGGGGCTCCATTGTTGCTGCTCATCAAAACATCCCATCTCTAGTCCCAGTCTGGCTGCCTAGCTGGTTATGCTAGTGACCACAGTGTCTGCCTGCTGTTTTCAGCAGATATCCTCATACCAAGACTTCTGTCCTGGTGAGAGGCCCCCTGCCTGACTACATTTTGGTTTGACCAGCAGTAACTTTGGACACCAAACAGAATCCTGGGAACAAGGCGGGGTGGGGGGGTGGATGGGGGTTGGGGAACCCACAGGTGTCTATTTGGGCACCCCAGCCTGGCTCTCCCTCCCCAGCGCCCCCTGCCCCTTCTGAGCCCCTGTAATTTTAACTCTTGTGGATTCTCGGGGCTCCGAGCTCACACTGTTGTCTCAGCACAATTGTCCCCAAGTGACCCGTGTTTGTGCCTGCACACCTGCCCAGGAGGGCAGGGCCTGCCCTTGGCTGTCCTCCTGCCTTAATATCTCACAGGAGCATTTGCTGAGCCCCACTCCCTGGAAGGAGGGGGAGGTTTGTCTTCTTTGCCCTGGCAGCAAGTATGTCAGACTTTGCTCTTGGCCTCTGGTGCCTCTTCCTCCCCTCTGACCCCCAGGGAGCTTGAGGGCTCTGCCCCCCCCCCCACCTCCTCCAGGGGTCTGATGGGCTAAAGCATTTGGTGTTGTTTTCAGGTGGTGGTCCTTGGGGAGGTGCTGCCTACCCCCCGCCCAACATGCCCCCCATCGGGCTGGATAACGTGGCTAGCTACGCTGGACAGTTCAACCAGGACTACCTTTCAGGAACGGTAAGTCCAGCCCTCCTGCTGAGGCTGCTCCTGGGGCCATACCTGGGGTGAGGGAGGGTGTTGGGGAGGTAAAGTCTGCTGCTTCCTCAGCTTTGGAGGCAGCTGTGTGCATCTCCCTTGAATGCATCTCCTTTGAATGCCAAGCATGTGAGCTGCCTCTTAGGACAGAAGCGTTTTAAGTTTTCATAAGGGCTTTCACCTGCTCAGTGCCTCTTTATGCATTTGATTTTCCCATCTATAAGATGGGGGGCAGTGGAGTCTCATGCCCCTTGCAGCTCCAGGGTTTGGGCAGGGTGGTGCTTTCTTAGAACAGGTACTGAGCACCTGAGTGAGCACAGAATAGATGAGGACAGAGGTGAGGTGTGGAGATGTGTGTGTCTGTGCCTGCGTGTCTGCTAGACTTATGGGTGACTCTTCTGGCTGGCCTGGGTGCAGACTCTTGGGCGCTTGGGCAGACATGCTGTTTATTTGCTTTTGAAATCATCTGTTTTATAATCTGAAAACAAATGTATGCTAAATGCAAGCAGTGTAGCCAATATGTAGTCTCATTTGTGCCAGGCCTGTTCTCAGCACTGGGAATGTGTGAATCAAACAGACAAAAATCCCAGCCCCAGAGGACTTAGCCACTGGGGAGACAGAGAGTAGACATAAGTAAGCCACAAAGTAGCCGCAGCGTGGGTGTTGGGGCCTAAGGGCAGGTAAAGGCGTGAGGAATGAGGTGGCAGGGACTGGGACAGCGGTTAAGTTGGCTGGTCAGACTGAGCCTTTCAGAGAAGCCTGCGGTACTTGATTTCTGCTTGGGCTGAGAGTGGCCCCTGGCGCATGCTGCTGGGCTGGGGCAGCTAGTGCAGGGCAGACCTGAGGAGCAGGGGCTTTTTGTCTTAGCTTCTGCTTTGTGGACTTCCAGGCAGCCAACATGGCTGGGACCTTCGGAGGAGCCAACGTCCCGAACATGTACCCTGGGGCCCCCGGGGGTGGTTATCCTCCCATTCCCCCTGGGGGGTTTGGGCAGCCGCCATCTGCCCAGCAGCCTGTCGCCCCTTATGGAATGTACCCGCCCCCTGGAGGAAACCCACCCTCCGGGATGCCTGCCTATCCGCCATACCCAGGAGCTCCTGTGCCAGGTCAGCCCATGCCGCCCCCCGCGCAGCAGCACCCAGGGGGTTACCCTGGGCAACCACCAGCGACCTACCCTGGGCAGTCACCGATGCCCCATCCTGGGCAGCAACAGCAGCCAGTGCCGAGCTACCCAGGATACGCAGGGTCCGGGCCTGTCACCCCCGCCGTGCTCCCAGCCCAGGTGAGTGCCAGCTGTCCGTTACCCTAGGTCTGTTAACACACCAGGGGCCCCCAGGGGCCCTACACGGAAAGGGGGGCACACTGCAATAGGGAGTCAGCTGTCCGTGTACACAAAGGCAAAAGAAGCAAACCCTTAGTGTGATAGATTTTTTTCAAATAATAGTTTTCCAGTAAAACTCAAAAATTAACCAATCCCCCGGGAGCTAGTTCCCAGACAGCTAGTTCCCAGTGGGAAGCTGGCCACAGTCTGGTGGGGAACCACAGGAGAGGGGTTCTGGAAGGTCCCTGGTTGCTGGGACAGAAGGAGAGACTCAGAACTCACCAGGTACCATGGGGTAACGGAGCGTTGTCTCACAGAGGACCAGGGTCAGCCCCCCCCCCCACGTGTTTCCCACCCGGTGTCTCTTCTGAGTACCTCTTGTAAGTCTCTGCATGTCTCTCCTCACATTTCTCCTCCAAGTCCCAGTGTGCAAGTCGAAATCACAAAGGCAAGCGCCTCTAAGCCCCCCTGTGCTCAGTTGTAAGTCAAGCAGCCTGCTTAACTCCTCCCTGATTCCCAGCAGGCCCCTTTGGGAAGCAGATCCATGGCATGCTGGGAGTCATCATGGGCTTGGACTCCCTAACCTCATCTGGGGATGGAGTTCACTGTCTTTCATGTTGCTCCCTGCTGTGCCTCTAAGAGGTTCAGCCCTGAGACCCACAGTCCAGTGAGGGGGGTGGGGTGGGGAGGGGGAAGGTGGGGCGGGGAGGGCTGGACCTACAGCCAGAGCTGCTCCCATTCCCCTCTCCTGGTTCCTGTTCCATAAAGTGTTCCTTCCTGTTTGGTTAGATGCCCCATGTGCTTGTTGAATCTGGACACCCCAGGGTGCTCTTAATTCCTGCTGTGTTGTTTCCCGCCCGGCTGTGGTCCTCATCCCCCTCATGTGCCCTGCCCAATGTTGTCAGGGAGCCCTCAAGCCTCTGTTGAGTAGGGACACTTGTTGGCAGTGCCTTCAAGGCTGATCTTTGCTCATTTTGGAGAGCAGTTCTTGTTTGCAGAGCAGCGAATTCACTGTCATGGTTACATGGTCAAACCAGCCAAGTGCAGGCTTGTGCTGTATGCTCGGCTACTATTTTTAGACACTGGGTCTCCCCTCCCCCTAGCCCCACACCCACACTTTTCCCCACCCCTGCCCTACACCCCATCCTCCCTCCCTGCTTTCCACCTTATCTTTTCTTTGAGTTTATCGCCTCAAGTCTGTCACAACCAGTTTGTACCAACCACAGGAGATAGTCCACCGGGAGACAGTCTCAGCAGGGAAATTCCAGTTTTCTGGGGAGTGCAGCTGACAGCGTCAGGAAGAGGTCCTGCAGGCCAGCGGGTCACGGGTCACGGAGCCTAGCAAACCAGTGCCAGTCCAAGAGGCCGTCCCTTTGCCGGTTGGTCACTGTAGCCCCCCTTTCCTAATTTATGCAAATCATACCGGTAGGGTAGTTAAGAGGACACCCCACCACCACCACCACCACCACCCCTCAACCTGTGCTAACGGGTGCTATGGTGGTGAGGAGACAGCGAGCCCTGGAGAACTGGATGGAGGGCCCATTTTCTGTTTGGGGATTCAGCTGTGGGGGACTCAGCCCCAGGAGCTAGGCAGAGGCTGCAGGACCAGAACACCAGGTCTGATGGTTTAAGTTGTGCCCACTCAATGTGAAGTTCTGAGCTGCTGAGTGCAGACTCCTCCAGGTACCCAGAATGTCAATGATGAGGTCATTCCTGGAGGCAGGGGGTGGGTGGGGGCAGTCTTGCACCTGGGGTGTGTGTGTGGCTTCTTATCCAAGGCTGCTTGTCCCTGCAGTCTGGAAACCGAGGCACCATCACAGATGCTTCTGGCTTTGATCCCTTGCGAGATGCTGAAGTCCTGAGGAAAGCTATGAAAGGCTTTGGTAAGAGACCCCCACTGCTCCCTGATTCTCCTGGCAGTTCCACAGTGGCACTGACCCCAGCGGTGATGGAAGATAAGGAGAAGGGGGTGCAGTAGGATGCCTCGGAGAGCGGAGACCCCAGGCCCCCAGCTGCGGGGCAGCCCATCACCACCAGCCCAGCCCACTCCACCTCTTCTTCCTTCAGGAACTGACGAGCAGGCCATCATCGACTGCCTGGGGAGTCGCTCTAACAAGCAGCGACAGCAGATCCTCCTGTCCTTCAAGACAGCTTATGGGAAGGTGAGACGGGAGGGCAGAGGTGCGGGAGCCCATATCTCCTCCAGCACGGCCCTATTCACCTTTGCTTTTCTTTGAGGCTGAGTGGATCCTGCTCTCCTAGATGGTCAGTAAAGCCCTTTAGGACATTTCCTTCTGCCCTCCCAGCTAGTGGCCTCTGGGCTGATGGCATCTCCTAGAGGTGATGCCGGGGTCCGTGGGTTTGGGGGTACTGCGGTTTGGTGAGAGAGTCTCAGAGATCTGGTTGGCCCTGCTGAGGCCCCAGCCGCTAATCCCTGCCCTCTTCACTGTCACCCCAGGAGGCTTAGCTGACAGGGAGCTGTGAAGGAAAGGATCTCAGTAATGAGCATAGGGGTGGGGGTGGTATTTTGACTTTCTGGCATGCAGAATGATAAAAAGGTAGAAACTGGGTAAATATGAAATAGCTCGCGTTCTGACTTGGCTCATGCAGTGTGCTGTGAGTCCCCAGGACCTGGTTAAGATGCAACTCCTATTCTGTAGGTTTGGGCTGGGGCCCGGGACTTGACTTTCGTGCCAAGCCCCATCACCCCATCTGATGCTGTTGTCCCTATTAGTCTTCCCTCTTCTGTGGGTTCTCACAATGGTTTATTTGTTCGACTACCCAATCAGGATTTGATCAAAGACCTGAAATCTGAACTGTCAGGAAATTTTGAGAAGACCATCTTGGCTCTGATGAAGACCCCCATCCTCTTTGATGCTTATGAGATCAAGGAAGCCATCAAGGTGAGTACGTGTGTGTGTGTGTGTGTGTGTGTGGTCACACTCTTACGTACATGCATGTGTGGGGACACAGCAGTCGGGAAGGCCTGGGCTGTGTGTCTCACTCCCTCACTGGCTGCCTTGTCAGCGTGCCTTCTGCACCCTCCCAGCTTGAAGTGCAAGTGCTAGAGAGGGGTGACTTCCCCAAGAAGCAAATGAGGGTGCATTCAGGCACAGGGAGCAGCTAAGTCTTGAGCTGGGGTTGAAGAGGAAGCTAGAGGCACAGATGGGGGAGGGCTCATCCTCACTCATTAGCACTCTGACTGACAAATGACAGAAGCACCTATGAGGAGTTTAAGCAAAACAAAGGTAGGAAGTCAGTTATGAGCACAAGCCCTCCTGGCGTGAGAGGGTGCGGCCAGGAGACGTAAAGGGCAGTGCTGGGCAGGATTTCTCCCATGTCTCTGCAGCTTCCTGAGTGTGCACTTTGTTATTCTGTGTGCGTCAGTGTTTCTCCTGCTTAGCAGAAGATCCCTGTGGTCGCTTCTCCATGGACCTGTCACAGGAGTGGCCATGGAGGAGACCCTCTGTCCCTTGGTCCAAGTTCCAAATAGAGAGCAGATTCTGGCTGATGAAGTGTGGCTTCACACTCTTCCCCCAGTCTAATCAGGCGTGACCAAGAGGAGGGACCCCGTGACCCCCACACCCACAGCGGGTTTCCTTTGGGAGGGCGGGAGGCAGCCTCCACAGAAGGTGAATCCTGCAAACTGAGCGAGTTAGAACAGACCTTCCTCAGAGGCCTGACAGGCAGAGTAATTTTTTACCGCCCCGGGAGGAGAAGCGGTGAGCTCACTGAGGGGCCTGGAGGGAACGAGGACCCACTGGACTGACCCGCACACTTTCTTCTAGAAAGTGGGTCAAGGGGTAATTGGGAAGGGCTGTGGCATAAGGTGCTGGCTCCTGCTTTCGGCCAGCTTCAGGAGGTGGAGGTGGTTGGGTGCTCAGCTCACCCTAACGCGTGTGTCCCAGAGTATCTGTTAAACGGGAGTGTAGATTCTCCTCCACCCCGTGCAGGGATCTCTGTCTTCTATGGGCCCTGACTTGGTCATTCTTCTTGTCCCCAGTATTGCTTCTTTTCCTTCAAGTCTCCAGATGCTCCACGGTCCATTCTAGGACTGTCTTTTTACATGTCTATTCTCTGGCTTCAACCATTTTGTCAGCTAATATGGTCTCTAATGAAACTGATCTGGGTCCGTATCTCAACTCACAATATACTGTATGAGCTTGGATGAGTCACTACACCTCTCTGACTCTTGGTTTCCTGGTGGACTTCCTCCATGTGATCGCCACTATTACTACCTGGTTCTTTCCTGGACCCAGGCCTTGGTGGAGCGCTGGGCTATCTCGGACCTGGGCGTAGCAGCAGTGGAACTGGGCGGGTCTCTGCAGGGAGTGCTGGGATTTGTGCTCTGGGGGAGAGGGCAGTGAGGTGGCACCTGCTCTCCCCTGGGTGCCAGCGAGGGAGCTGTAACAAGTTTATGGTTGGTTGTGTTCTCACCACCCCAGGGGGCTGGCACCGATGAAGCCTGTCTGATTGAGATCCTAGCCTCCCGCAGCAACAACCACATCCGGGAACTGAGTGGAGCTTATAAAGCAGGTTAGCCTGGTTCCTCGGAGGTCCCTAAACTTTCCAGGTCCCCTGGATCTTCCCTTGGAGATCCAGAACTTTTCAGGCCTGTCTCATCCTCTCCCGGGTCCTCATTCCTTTTGGCCTTGCCACTCCCCACACACTGGGCTTTGAGCCAAGACGCAACCCCACCTGCTGAACATGTGAGGGCAGGTGGCGAAGGTAAGGGGTCGCTGAGGAAAACTTCTTGGGCGAGGTTTGGGCCAAACCTGACCAGGGACATCAACCTGGTGGTCACACCCCGTCCTGGAGCTTGGTTAGCTGTCCCTGGAGGGCTGTCTGGGCCACCCGTCTCCCCGAGTTCGGAACATCCAGGCCCTTCTCTCACAGTGCCCGCTGTTGACTGTGTGCACTTGGCAGCCTCGTCCAGGTACACATGGACCCTCCCTGTGTCTCCCTTTCAGAATTCAAAGTGTCCCTGGAGGATGACATTCGAAGAGATACGTCAGGACACTTCCAGCGGCTGCTCATCTCTCTCGCTCAGGTACCTTTCTGGTGACAGAGCTGGACTGAGAGGAGGGAGAGGTGGCCCTGGGCAGCGAGGAACAGGGAACTGGGCGGGCAGGGCGCAGCTCCAGGGGTCGGTTCTGACCAGTCAGCCTGCCTGATTTCAGGGAAACCGGGATGAAAGCACAAATGTGGACATGACACTCGTCCAAAAAGATGCCCAGGTGAGTGTGAGGGCCAGGCTCCCCCAGAGTGTTCTGAACCCAGGGTGTCCCCCACTTTCTTCTTTCAAAAGGGAGGTGCTCAGGGGGTAGAGACAGCAGCCAGTCAGGAGTGGGTTCCAGGTGCTCTGAGCCTTGGGTGGACTCTGCTGCTTGTCTACGGTGTGGCCTCGAGTAGGTCCCTCAGCGTCTCCAGGCTTCAGTCCCCACGCTGAGAGCAAGCGTGTGGGGTCCTCAATATGACAGCAGTTGGCGGGTCACTTGTGGGTGTGGGATTTCACGTGACTTAGCACTTTAGTCTGAAAGCACTTATGGCTTTAACTGCATTTACCATTGCTTGTGGTGGGGCAGGCTTTGCACTTGCCTATTAAGCTTTTGAAGATCTGAACCGAGAAACCACTTTCCATGGTGGAGCTGAAGTTGTACCTTGCCTGTCCTGGGCCCCCATCAGCCTGGGTTTTCTCCGGGTTCTGAATAAATGCCCTAGGCCCCCACTCAGACCAGAAACATCTGTTGCCCCGTGAGGGGGTGCGTAAATGGTGTCTATCCCGCGGCAATGCCAGCACATTCTCCATTTCCTTTCCCTGTGATGCTGCGGGGCCCAGAGACTTTGCCCAGCCCTCCTAGATGACCTGGGCCTGCTCTCGGGGTGAAGCCTGCATGCGTGTCTGTCTCCCCACCTCTGCCTGCCCAGGATCTATATGCAGCTGGGGAGAACCGCCTGGGGACAGATGAGTCCAAGTTCAATGCAGTTCTGTGCTCCCGGAGCCGGGCCCACCTGGTGGCAGGTAAGGCAGCCCTGGCCCCTGTGCAGCAAGAGAGGAGCGCAGAACAGGTGGGGTGGTGGGCAGGGAGGGAAGACACTTGCAGAGCCCTGGGTCTGCTGCTGTGCACGGGGGTTCGCTTCCTTCAAGAGCCCCCTGGTGGAGATTTAAAACACTCGCAGCAGATGTACTGAGTTCTGTAAGCTCATTCTGGTGGAAGCCAAACAACTGAAGGAATCGGGAGCTTTCAGTGGGCTGGTATCTTCATACACTAGAAGGTGGGATATCAGAGTTGAGAGAGCTACCGAACACTCACCCGGTGTCCCCGAAGTGTGGCATATGAACAATACGGAGGAGCATTTACTCACTCACTCAGCAAGTATAAATCGGGCTCCTGAGTGTGGGAAAGCACTCAGCACTGGAGTCTCTGTCCTCAGGGGAGTTCACCTGATTGTTTCGGGGGTAAATACTTTAGAGAAAAACATTGAGGTAGGGAACAGGAATGGGAGTGGTAGAGTGGCCAGGGCAGTCCCCACTGAGGAAATGACATGAAGGTTTGCAGGGACACAGGCCCCGAGCAGGGGGCTCCCAGTGAGACTGACAAAGGGCTGGAGCAAATGGATGAGGAGCAGCAGGAGGTGAGATCCGGGTGCAGGAGCCTGCTGCTGATCTCGGGCCTGGGCTTTCATCCTGAGTCATCGGGAGGCCCCTGGGCTCGCTGGGGGTGGGCAGCGAGCTCATTCAGCACTTGCAGTCACTACTGTTGTGAGCAGGTGAAGGGGTCGTTGGCAGGACTGGCTGCCAGTAGGAGAGGCTGCTGTAATCTCAGGTAGCAGTGCTGCCTTGGGCCAGGCGTTCAGAGGGTCAGGTTCTGGCCCTTCTGCCGTTTGGCTGTGGAATGGAGAGAAAGGAAGGAGTCGAGGATGACACAGATGTCTCTTCTGACTGAGCTCGTGGAATGGAGTGACCCCGACTGGGACGAGGAAGCTGGGGCCGAGCAGTCTTTAGGAGGGATGGAAATCAGGGGCCTCAGACTGGAGATAGCAGGTAGGTGACTGGGTTTCTGAGTCTGGAGTCAGACATGGACTTTGGGAACTAGACAACCAGGGCCTGCAGGAGGTCGAGGGAGACCCAAATGAGGCCAGTGGGCTGAGGACTAGGTCATGGCTATTGTGGGGGTGCTACGGAATACCCAGAAAAGAGAAGTCCTGGGGACCGACTTTGTCAGGGCAGCTGGCATGTGAGGGCAGAAAGTGATGACCGCACTTTGTGATGGGTAAGTGATGCAGCTGAGGCTCTGAGTGCTCAGTCCTTCCCTCACGCAAATAGGTGCTTTTGTTCACCCTACTGCACAGAGGAAAGCAGGCACAGAGCGCTTGGGGAAGGGCGGTCACCCGGCTGGTAACATGACAGAGCTCAGGCTGGAACTCGGGCCATCCTGCCCCAAAGCACACATTCTGACCTCTGCAGTACACTGAGGTGGAGCCCGAGCAAACATGCTTTTGTCCTAGCCTGTATTTGTTTCAGTGAGTTTAGAATACAGAAGGAACGCATGAAACCCTGGCTTCCAAGCATTATGACTTAAGAGCAAGGAGAAGCTGACCTGAAGGAAATGTTAAGTGAGGAAGACAGATAAAGACAGAGCAGAAGTCATACCACAGTAGAAAGTGAGACCCAGGCTGGGGACGAGGGGATTGATGTCCGGGGTCCAAGCTAGAGGGAGGTTCCGGGGACCCCACCTGTCTTTCTGAAATGCACAGTCCACTTCCTGTGGGGCTCAGCTCGTCCTAGCACCTCCTAAGCTTGGAGGCACCGGAAGGGGCTTGGCTCACAGTGGACGGAGAGGCAAGACTGATCCGTGGAATGGCAGAGAGGGAATGGTGTGGACTGGATGTGCAGGGATTGGAGAAGGAGGGAACGTGGGGTGACGGGACAGAGGATTAAGGTGCGTCTTGGGTAGATAGTCCCGTGAGGCAGTCCTCGTAAGGATCGCATGAGCAGGTGTGGGGGGAATGCACTGGACTTGTGGGGTGAAGAACCCAGCTGAGTTGAGAGCTGAACAGGCTGGCTCAGGGGGACCATCCCAAAATCAGGAGCACAGTGGCAGGGAGGGGGGGGGGGGGGCTCCTCTCAGGCAGAGGCCTCCACACCAGACCTCCTGTGTGTGTCTGCTCTGGCTGCCATAACAAAACACCACCGACTGGGGGACCCAAACAGCAGGAATTTATTCTCACAGTTCCGGAGGCGTGAAGTCCAGGACCTGGGTATTGGCCGGTTGGTTCCGTCTGTGGCTGGCAGGTGGCTCCTTCTTGCTGTGTGCTGGGTGGTCCTCCTGCTGTGGACACGCCTGGTGTCTCCCTGTCCTCCTGTGAACGCCAGTCAGAGAGGATTGGGGTCCATGCCAAGGACCGCACTTTCGTTTAGTTACCTCATTAAATACTTTCTCTCTAAATACAGTTACATCCTGAGGAACTGGGAACTAGGGCTTCGATATGTGGGTTTGAGGGTGTGGAATTTAGTGTCTCACCTGTCCCTCTGTCTTCCCACTAGTTTTCAACGAGTATCAGCGGATGACGGGGAGAGACATTGAGAAGAGCATCTGTCGGGAGATGTCCGGGGACCTGGAGAAGGGCATGCTGGCTGTGGGTAGGTGTCGGGCCCACCTTGCCCTCACAGGGGGCTGACAGGGTGCTCACTCTGGTCGAGTGGGAGTGTAGTAAATGAACCCCGGGTCCAAGATGGCTGAGTTCGGCTAGCCCAGCGGCAGGAGGCCAGACCCGCCTCCCAGAGCGCGGCGTGGCTGTGCCTTGGCTGCTCCGAGTGTGCTGTCTGTGTGTCAGGCCCGGCTGTGGGAAGGGAGCCGCGGTGTGGGTATTAGTGGGAGAGCAAGCATCTCTCCAGAGGAAGATGACTCACATCCTGCCAAGTTTCCTCTAAAAATACAACCCTGCAGGCAGTTGTCAGATGTTTGTGATGGAAACACGTGGAAAGATTTTTACTTGCAACAGCAAAACAGGCTCTTGCTAAGGAAAGCTGGCCTAGCTCCCAGGCGCTGGTGAGCGTCTGCCCCACAGAGCAGGGCCTGGCGGTCGGCTCCCCCACAGGCACTGGCCCTGCTCTGCAGCCCACACGAACCCTGCTTTGTGTCCACCTGGGAAAATCAGTTTACCTAACTTTGGCTTTGCTTTCTGGATGGGGCAGATGGTAACTCCTCATTGCTCTGCTGGTCCCCCATGTAGTGTCATAGAGAACTCTAGGGAGATGGGCCTTCCACTGGGCCCCCGTCCTTGCTCACAGCACCTCCAGTCTGCCCCCCACCCCCTGCCTGCCCAGTGTGTTGTCTCCCTGCTCAGCGCCTCTCTCCACACTGGTTGCCAGGAAAGAGGTTGGGGTGTGTCCAGGCCCTGCATTTTTTCTGTTGCAAAGAACTACAGCCAGGATCATGGAATAACTGAGCCTCGAGAAGGAAGGAAGGAGAGGACATAGAGGCAGGGATGGGTTTGTTACCCAGCCTGGTAAAGGGGGCTGCCAGCGCCTGCAGGTGGTCACACTGTGTTCTCTCTTCCAGTGAAGTGTCTCAAGAACACCCCCGCCTTCTTTGCTGAGAGGCTCAACAATGCCATGAGGGTAGGTACTGCCAGGAGTCCTGGCTTGCTCTGCCCGCCTGTGCCTGGGGCCTCTCCCAGGTGAAGGCTTGAGGAGAGCACCCCGCGGCCTAGAGGACAGAGGGCGCGTGGTGAGGGAGGGCCCTGGAGAGGAGGAAGGTAAGGAGCCCCTTACCCACCTTTTGGTGAACTCTCCTCAGGGAGCAGGGACGAAGGACCGAACCCTGATTCGCATCATGGTATCCCGCAGCGAGATCGACCTCCTGGACATCAGATCGGAGTATAAGCGTCTGTACGGCAAGTCGCTGTACCACGACATCACGGTAAGTGTCCTCGGGCGGCCCTGACCCCCACTGGCCACGCCCATCCGCCCAGTACCTCCACGGCCTTGCCCTGTTCTCTTCTTTCTGGGACTCTTAATTGCTGTCTTAGACTTGTACCTGTTGCCCCCAAACAGTGTAAGTTCTAATGGCAGGTTGGGTACTGACCCAGCTGCCACTCGCCATGACCCCCAAGGTCCAACTCCTCTGCTGCTCAGTAGTGGACAAGGCTGGGGGTTGTGATCAAAACATCGAAACCAGAGAATGCAGGACACCCCAGCCCACTTGGGGCCGGCCTTCTGCATCCTGGCCTCCTGTGGCTCTGTGATCTGACTGGGGGCTCGGCTCTGGCTCGGGGATTGACACGGTCCCTTCTTTAACTCTGCTGCATGACAGAGGAGACCCAGAAAGGCAGTGCAAAGCCAGGTCTCAAGGGTCGCTTGACTTAGAGACCAGTTCTGACTACCTGTGTGTTCTCGAGCAGCTTCTTAAGTCTTCTGAGCCCCAGGACCAGGGCCAGCATCCTTAAAATGAGATGACAGTAGCCCACGTCCTTACAGAGCACGTAGCGTGATACATGTCACAGCTGACAAGCACCAGCGACCCCTCTGCCGTGGGCGCAGACCAGCCTGGCACAGTGATTCCCGTGTGACTGGAAGCTGTGGTCACCCTGACCGGGGCCTGCTCCAGACTTCCTAGTGTTTGCCATCACTGGGAGAAGCACATGTCTCTTTCCCTGGCTGTAAAAAAAAAAACAAAACAAAAAACAAAAAAACAGTCCTGTTGATAGAAGGGATTAGCAGCTGTCCACAAAGTACCTCTTGTGTGCCACTGGGCTGTGGACGTGTAGAAGAAGCCAATATCTGGCCTTAAGGGAAGAATAATTAAATGTTAGCTAAGCCTGACCTGCAGGTCTAGATAAATGCAGTAGAGAGGAGCTTGGTGTGAAGTGGAGGCCCAGTAAAATGGCACTCCCACAGATTCACTTCCTGAACAGGACAGAAACGCACTAGAGTCTGAGCCCTCCTGAGTGCAAATTGGCTAGACCTGGTAGTTTGGGGGCTGTTTTAAATTATTTTTCGACCCCTGACTTCGATCGTTGGGACCAGCACAGCCTTGTGTTTCAACAGGGCTGGGAGGCTCATCGACCCCGCTCACCTGTTTTGGGGACACTGTGGGGGGAATTTCCCAAGGACCCTCGTCTTGGTGTGGGGGCTTACAGCAGGAGGGGGCTTAAGGCAGGAGAAAAGGGGGAGCAGGGAGACCCAAATCAACTGTGCTCCCGTCACTGAGTCCTTCCTTGTTCTGTGACCAGGGAGACACTTCAGGGGATTACCGGAAGATTCTGCTGAAGATCTGCGGGGGCAACGACTAAGTGTGGCTGGTGTCTGCCCGCTGGCAATGGCAGTGCCAGGAAAAGGCCGAAAGAATGTCCATCTATTTCTGACCCACAAAGCAATCCCGGAGATTTCCCAGCACGGGCCTCCCACAGAGCCTCGGCCCCGCCCTCTGCCTGCCCCTGCTGGCCTGCTGTCCTGCTCTTGCACAGGATGAGGGTTAGCCTGAACTCTGGGGATTCCTGTCACCCCCATCCCGCACAGCCTCTTGCTGCTAAAGTAGATGTTCTATTTCCTGGCCCATGCAATCATCCCCCTTTGCTGTGGCTGAGACTCTTGGCTTTATTTTAATCATGTAATTTTTATATTTTTATTTGGAAGCAACTTTTTTTTTTTTTTTAATAGTCATCACCAGACAGATGTACACAAGTTTCTTTGCTGCATACACATTTTGGGTGGGAGAAGTTGGGTGGGGCAGCACTAGGGAGAAAAGGGTAGATCGTTACAGGGTGATCTTTACATCTGGTAGGAATGTGCCATGGGCTTTGTTATTGCCAAACATACTCCTTTTTAGAGGGGGGGAAAAAAAGGCCAGAAAGTCATCTGTTCCTTCTTTCATGCAAAACCATGAGAACAAAGCCAACTCCCTGTCCGTAACAGGGTTTCTTGTAATTTGGAATGTGCCTTAAACCTGAATGTTGATAGCCAAAAGCTGTTTCTAAATTAAAGTCAGCCAGCTCTGGAACGTTCTGGAAATGTTATCCTGGTGCCAGCTTCTTTTCTTCTGCTTCATGATTCTGCCCTATAGTTTACAGGTTCTAACATACTAGTCAGTGAAGACGTTTGTGACTTTAAATAGAAGTTTGTAGTAGGAGACCCTAAGCGTAAGTAATTTATGGAACCTGGGTTGTAAGTTCCCAAGAAGGGAGGTTTCTGAAATTATTCTGGAAACCTAAACTGAAAAGGTGAGGAGATTTTGGTCAGACACAGACTCAGTGAGGTCCTGTGCAAGTGAGGCAGAGGCCTGCTGCTCACCAGCTCCTGCTGAAGGGGTACAAGAAGGAGGGGGCATGGGTGACCGGTTGGGGCTAGAGAGGAAGGTGGAGACAGTCCAGAGAGACCTGAGATCCGTGGGGTAGAATTAGAGTCCAAAAGTCCATACAAATGCCTGTGCTCAGCTGATTTTTGACAAGCGTTCCAGTACCATTCCATGGGAGAGAATATTCTCATCGACCAATAATAGAGAGACAACTGGATATCTACAAGCAAAGGAATGAGTTGGATCCCTAATTTATATCAAAGTAGATCAAAATAAATAAATGTAGAGCTTAAGCTGTAAACATCTCGGGGTGGGGGGAAGGAATAATATTTATGAGTTTGACAGTGGATTTTTAGGATCTACCAAGAGCACAAGCAATGAGACAAGGATAAGTAGAACCTCATCAAAAGTAAAACTCTTATGTTAACTGTCACAACAGCAAAAACACAACCTGTGTTTGAAGGGGACAATCTTTGCAAGCCATGTACCTGAAGTCTTGTATCCACAACACATAAAGAACTCTTAAAAACTCAACAACAGAAAGACAATTCCAGTTTTTAAAATAGGCAAAAGGCCTAAATAGATATTTCTCAAAACACTAATGTCCAGGAAACCCATGGAAAGATAGCATCACTAGTCATTAAATAAATGCTGCTTAAAAGCACAATGAGATGCTCATTGGCTGTAGTCAGAAAGATACACGTGAGGACATGGAAAAATGGAAACCCTCATGTAACCTGGTTGGAATGTAAAATGGGGCAGCTTTTGTGCAAAACAGTTTAGTGGTTCTTCAAAAACAGTTACTATTTTTAAAAAAAGTTACTATTTGACCCCAGCAGTTCATTCCTAGGAATAGATCTGAGAGGAATGAAAACATGTCCACGTAAAAACTACATGGGTGTTGATAGCATTGTTCATAATACCCGAAGAGCACAAATGACTTAAATGCCACTAGTTATTGCATGGGTGAATAAAATGTGGGGCATCCATACAATGGAACATTATGCAGTCGTAAAAAAAAAGGAAGTACTGTCACAGGCTACAGCATGGACAGAGCTTGGGAAAATGCCAAATGAAAAATGCCACAGAAGACCATCTACTCCTTGGTTTCTCTGTACAAAGTGTCTAGAGTAGGCTAACCCAGAGAAATACTACTGGTTTTCAGGGACTGATAGGAGGGGGAATGGGAAGGAACTGCTTAGTGAGATACAGGGTTTCTTTTGGGGGTGATATGTTCTGGAATTGGTGATGAGTATACAACATTGCTGAAGTTACTGTAAAATCTGAAGTTTGAAAATGGGAATTTCGTGGTATGTTATTTTGCCTCAACAGAAAAAATGTAGATAACTTTATAACACACATCCTCTGGAGATCTCTAAAAATGTAGCTTCTGAGTCAGGAGGTCTGGATGGGGCCCCAAATCCCACATATTTGACAGGCCCCTGGGGGATGGTGCTACTGCTCCCCGGTCGCATGTAACCAGGCCACTGCCAGGGCCCTTCCACCATGCCATCTTAATTCTGGAGCTCATCTGCCCCCTCTGGGCTTGCCCAGGCTATGGAAGCACAGCCCGCAAGGGGCTGAGGGAGGGCCTCAGGGGATGGGAGCAGAAGAAGGGACTGTGCATGTAGGGGTCACTGTCAGCAGACACGGGGCCAAAGGAGCAGTTTTATTGGGCACAAGGCTGAGGAGGGCAGGCCAGGGTGCTCGGCGGCGCTGTCTCAGAGAGCTGAGGGCGTATCACTGCCAGCTGCTGGGCTTCTCTCTCCCCAGGCTCAGAAGTGATCTAGAAGAAAGAAAGGGGCAGGCTTCGTGTTAGCAAGCAGGGGAGATGAAGGCTCACTGCCCCCCTTCCAGGTCCCCCTGAGCTCCTGGTGCAGGACACCAGGGCTCAAGGAAGGAGCAGGGTGGCACGGCCACTGCCCAGTCGGGGGAATGCCAGTCTTCCCTGAGGACATGGTGGTGGCACAGGAGTGGACCCTTGAGAGGCGGAAGGAGCCAGGTAGCTGGGCGGTGGGCTGGAGCTCTCAGGTAGGTGGTGCGGAGAGGGGAACACAGGGCAAACAGCCGGTGCTTCCAGGAGCCCTGATGCTGGGCTGTGACAACCCAGGGAGGGGGAATGGCAGAGGACTCTTGGGGTGAGCTGAGGGATGCCTTCCCACTTCTGCCTCCAGGAGGAGTCCGAGCCCTGTCTCCATCCTCCAGGCTACCCTGTGCCATGAAGCAGCCCCAACACCCTGCATGCCCTGCCCCAGAGGCCGTGGTCTCTGCTACCTGAGTTGCTCACCATCTCCGAGAAAGTCGGGGGTCGGGCTGAGGGGCCCTGGGGGCAGGTTCCAGGCCAGCTCCTCCAGTTGACCCAGCAGGCCTTTCACTTCCGCCTCCAGGTGCTCCACTGTCTTCTCCACCGTCTAGAGCAAGGACACATGGTGTGGGAGCCAGGCGCGACCAGGCCCTCAGGATGAGTGGGACCAAGTCTGCTTGGTTGGCCACATCCCAAGGATCACCTGTTGATGCAGCAGGATGGAGTGGGGTGCGAACTGGGTACCAAGGACCTGGGAGTTCCCCCAACCCTCCCTGCCTCTCAGCTCCTCAGGTGACAACATCCTAGGGCTCACTCCTGGCTTTGCACTCAGTTTGGCATCGGCAACTCGGATCCCTTTTTCCTTTAGGGTATCACCAGTGGGTAATACTCACATTCCCTTTGTTGTCCCGCCCTCTGGTGGCAATTCTGCCAAATGACAGGCTTGGGATTTTGAAACTTTCTTCATTTAGAGCTCCTAACTTTTTAAATGTATGGGCCTATTGACAGAACAGTGAAACCAGCAGACCCCTCCTCAGAAAAATACTTTAATGGAGAAAGGTAACTTATGGGCATTCGAAGGACACCAAATGCAATAAAATATTACACAAGTATTACATTTTTTTAAATATAAAAGATGTATTTATTAACCCAGCAACCCAAATGTTTAACTCGGTGACCAGCAAGTAGGATCAGCCTGCATTTCCCCAGTTTTTCAAAGCAGGGTCAGGAGACCCCTATAAAGCCTCCAGGTGATCCTGAAGCACATACCGTCCCATCTACTCCATTACCTCCTCTATGACGTCCAGCCGGTCTTGCACAGCTACGTATCTGTCACACCCTGTGTTCCAGGCTGTGTCTCCTCGGGAGGGGACGGAGGGCCCAGCAGCTGCGGGAAACAAGGCTGGTCACTGTGGGGCCCTTGGTTTCTGTAATACTAGAGACTGCTGGAAGGCCCAGCGTTCTGTGAGCTGTGTCCTGAAAACAGTCCCAAAGAACCAAGGAAGGTCCAGTGTGGTCAGAGATGGTGTGTGGAGCAGCACCACGCACTTGCCTCTGTCGTTACAGTCACCTCCAGACCCAGGTGCACTTCTCAAGGAGGTGTACAGAACTGCAGAAGGTAGGGAGGAGAGGTTTCAGTCAGGCATGGCTCAGTGGACCACCAACTGCCCAGGGGGGCTTAGAGTGACTGGAAAGTAGAGGGTGGAGGTGAGACTATAGAAGTGGTGCATGGACAGGAAGGCCAGAGGATAGAACTGCATCCTAGAGGCCCTACTAAACCAGGATAGTTGCTTGGGGGTTTTCTTTAACAGAAGAGTGAGGCAGTCACATATGTCAATAGAATGACACATCATCATATGTGTCATAGTGATTCACACAGAAGAGATACAGTCATATGTGAATTTTTAAAAAGATTTATTTATTTATGCATATAAGAACTGGGGTACAGACCAGAGGTGCAGGTTCTGACAGGAGTCACCAGAGACAGAGTGGGGAGCAGAACAGTTGGGTCTACTGCAGTACACTGCTAAGGGGAGCAGCGGGTGAGACAGGAGAGGTCTGCTGCGCCATGTGGGTCAGCTCCCTAGCTGGGGATGGAACTCGTGCTGCAGTGGATGTTGATAGCTTCATAGTGCTGAGATTTAACCCCTGGTGCCACCCTCCCAGGTGAATTTTTTAACAGAATGGACTGGAGAGATTTGCCTTTGAAAGCAGAAGGTTACTGCATTAATCTGGGGAAGAAGGAAGAGGAGATGCTGAAAGGAGGCACAAGTAGGAAAAGAAAGGAAGAAAATGAAGGAGATATTCAGGAATAGCACTGACGCTGGTGACCTGTTCGTAACACCCGACATCTGATGAGGGCTGGTCACATACCACATAGTGTGTTTAGCAAACATGTTCTTTGGTCAACCTCCAGGACAGTCTAATTATTGTATACTCAATTTACACCAAAGGAAATTGATCACAGAGTGGGGAAATGTCATATCCAAAGTCACAGATACTGGTAAGCAGATCTGGGACTCAACCTGAAGGACAACAGTTTGGCTAACTCTGCAATCCTGGGCCCCGGCTGATAAGGAGACCTTGGCTCCAGCTGGGCCTGGCCGTCTTTCCCTGCCAGATATGGCCATGGGCTTAGTTCATCCAGCTTATTGTATCTTTTCTTTTCGGACACTCTTCCGCGACTCCTCCTGCCTCTCTCTCCGCCTGACTGTGGCCCCGCCAATGGGCACTCGACATGATACCTTTAATGTGTATATAAGTTCAGCTCTGAAATAAAATAACACTTCTTCTTCTTCTTCTTCCTTTTGGTGAACAGACTCAGGGCGTCCGTCTTTCCTTCTGCCTTTTCCTTTCACAACCCATTCAGCAGTTTAGCTCTCACTGCTTCCAGACCTCCTCCCGCCCCCCAACAGTAAGGAAGACCTAGAGCCCTGGTTCTGAGATCAGGTTTCAGAGTTGGCTCCAAGAGGCCTGCGGGGTGTCTGAGTTGGCCGCAACCTTGGAGAATGCTGACACCCAAGGAGGCTGCTGATCTGGATACAGAGAGAAGCAAAGCATCTGGATACTGAAAGATGAAGTGATCAGCATGGCCTGAAGACAAGAGCTGCCCTGAATGTTGGCAGATCTTAGGTAAGCACAGAGATGATGATTCATTCTCTGGCAATGAATGCATCACTGGAAGGTTCAGTGACTTGTCCAAGGTCAGAGTGAGCAAAGGACTGAACTCCTGTGTCCTGGCCTTCTCACCTCACCAGCAAGCTGGCCTTCTGGAGTTCTGCCAGAGTGCTGGAGCCCTGAGAGTCTCTGGCGGAAAGTATCTGAATCCCAGGGCGAGCGTGGAGAGCAGGGGAAAAGCTCCTTCTCCTATAAGCATCTATTGTGGAGAACAATTTATTTTTGACATTCTGCTTTACTTTACCTCTCTCCATGGAAATTAGCAAAGCCTCTTCAAAAGCCAATGTTTCTGTGTTCTTAATTTTTTAAAAAACGTTTAAGGGAGAATTTTAGAGATTTATACCAAAATACTTACAGATGAAATGCTTTGACATCTTGGATTTAATTCAAAATATTCCAGGACTGGGAGGAGGGGGAGGAATGGGTGAGAACAGACAGCAAACAAGATTGGCCAAGACCAGTAATGACTGCACCTGGGTGATCGGGTCATGGGGGTCCATTTGACTATCATTTACTTTGGTGTATGTGGACATGGTTTGAAGTCTCCCATAATAATGGCCAGTTATCTGAGGGACTTGTTAGCAAAAAGCAGAAGCCACTGTGGGCTGTATGCAGGGCTGTAAAATGGTCAGGGTAAGGTGGGGGGGGGGGGTGTCTGTGAGCCCCGCTCCTGTCCGGCTGTGCTCCATTCTGAGCCACACATGATGAGAGGGCCTCTGGCAGGCAGGAGCAGGGTAACAGGGAGCCGTGGTGCAGGGGCTCACACTGGACCCCTTCATCTCTGCTGGATGCTCAGCCTGGAGAGGAAGAGGCCAAGAGAACAGGAAGAGCTGTTCACACACAGCAAGGGCCATCTGGTAAGTGGGGAGTTGGCACAGGCGGGCAGGTCTGCATCCTCTACTGGTTCTGCCTGGGGTCTCTGGCTGATCCTCCCCCCACCATCCCCACCCCCCACCCTGAACCTCACAAGCCCGCTCCTGGAGCCTGAGCCATTATTCCATTCTTCCGCTAGATGTCCCCAGCGCTTGGGGCAGGAGGAAGTACCTTGACCTTGCCGGCTAGGCAGGGTCTGCCAGCTCTGTCAGGAACAACATGACTCCACTCCCTTCCAGGCCTAAAACATCCTGTTCTCTCCACGTCTGAGATGAGGGCTAACTTGGCTCCAAAATGCCTCCAGGGAAAAGGCTGGGCTGAGGTAGCTCTCCATATCGCAGCACTAATCCCTCACATCTGGAGGGAACTGTGCCCTGGACTCCACTGCACAACCATCCATGAGCTCACCCAGGCCTCCCCAGGAGCTCAGAGCTCATCTGCCAAGAGCTGGAGGCGGAGCCAAGACCAGGACCTCACAAGCACCCTCCACTGCCTGCCCCTCCCCACAGACCTCAACCGGAGAGGGCAGCAAACACACTGGAGACTGTTCTCAATCCAGGTCAGTCATGTGTTGGGGTGGGCCTGTGGGAAGCATTCTCCTCCTCCTAGAGCCTCTGTGACCTCCACTATAACACTGGCTGGGTAGGTCTGAGGCCAGAGGTGGCCCCTACAGAATTTTGCTCTTTCAGAGCCTGCTAAGAGGCTTTAAAATTTCGCTTCGGGCCCTCCCTGGTGGCACAGCGGGTTAAAGCACAGCACTAAGAAGCTAAAGCCACTTCAGCATGAGTTCGATCCCCGCCTGCCCCAGAGGTGACCCACATGGCGCTGCAGACCTCTCCTGACCCGCCCGCTGCTCCCCTCAGCAGTACACTTCAACAATCTGCCTGTTCTACCCCCCACTCTGTCTCTGGTGAATCGTCTCACTGTTCCTGCACCTCGGGCCTTTACCCCAGTTCTGTATGCATAAATACATAAATCTTAAAAAAAATTAGCTTCAACGACAGAGCACAGATAAACCAAGGACAAATTTCTCCTTGGTCCACAAGCTCTAGCAAGCTAGGACCTGGGTGACCCCCATTTCTTTGGGTCCTTGCAGGCATTCATGATGCACATACACATATGCAGGCATGCACACACAACTCTTGAAGTCTTGACTTCCTCACCCGCAGAAAGGACCGTGGTAAAATTTGCTTCGTGGGGCTTTTGGGATATTCAAGCAAGAGAAGGAGTAGGGAAGGCTGATGGATCGTCTTGATGATTTTGAGCAGGCGGGATAGTAGTCACAGTGCTGGTATCCTTTCCTGCCTTTGCTCCTGCCTCCCCCGCCCCACCCAGTTGGGACGTGGACCTTTTTGGATGCAGGGCTGTTTTCCCTGGCCTGGGTTTGCTCAGGCTTTGTGCTTCTTGGACAGTGGCCATGGGTGGAACCGCCTGCTTTGGTGAGAACAGGCAGCCAGTGGAGGCCGAGGCTTAGGTGAAGACACTGGGCTAATTTTCCCAGGTAAGGAGACGTGGCCAATGGGTCAGCAAGCAGGGCCCTTGCCCACTTACAGGCAAACTCTTGTATCTGGAACCCAAAGTGCCACAACACAGCTGACTTCTGTCCTGCGAGGTGATGACGCTTCCTCAGTGGTGGCTCTGAAAGGAGCTGCCGAGCCTTCTGAATCAGCAAAAACAAACTCTGCTTTGACCAGCAACACTTGTCACTTGCGGGTTAATTGTATTTGACCACATTCAAAACAAAAGAATAAATTTTACAACATTCAATATTTGTATTAAAATTGGTGATTCATGCCAAAACCATCAATGGGCAGAATGCTATTCTTAAAAAAAACAACAACAACAACAAAAAAAAAAATACGAAAAAATTCCAATCTGTGGAATTGTCCTGGCTGGAGCAGAAGAGGAGCTCTGAAGACCCCCAAGGATGAGCTCAGATTCTAGGCTGTCTCATTTTATTTGGGCAGAGACATGCGCTAACCCCTTGGTCTCTGTCATTTTCCAGATGTGGATTTAAGTGTTGCTGGTCATTTAGAGGGTTTACCAATGTCACCCTAATGCATTCAATAGCTGGTTCCATTAGGATACAAGCTAGGCCCCGCCAGACCCCAAACGTGTACCTTGGATTGAATTTGAGAGAGCCCCACCTTCACACCTGCTCCTTTCCTGTGTATCAGTTCAGAGGTGGATCAGCTGTGGTCAGACAGCTCTAGCCCCTGAGGTCATACAGAAGTCCAGACGCCTATCATGGCATCCTGTTTTTGTTTTTCATCCACACGGTTACAGTGGACTAGACCATCCCCAAATCCCTAGAATACTAAAAGTCTAAACAGTCATCCAGGACAAACTGTCTCCACATGCTGTGACCAGAATACAGGCTTGGAGGCCCGTCTCCACAGCTACTGACTGCTCTTTGCCTTCCTCACCAGAAAGGGATGGCTTTGCCATCCCTTGGTGGGACCGCCGCCACATGAACCAAAGGGGTCCCCCACTTGAGGACATGTGGGGACTGCCAAGAGATGTGCCAACGTCACATCAGAGGGCACTGACCAGGGGGGCTGAAGTCTGACCGAGGCAGCGTGTGAGTTCCCTGGGGCTCTGCCTCCCTACCCAGAGGCCAGTGCTGCTCCACAGAAAGCTGCAGCCCCACCAGGTCTCCTCCACACGGGTGGCATCTGCTCTGGGATTAAACCTGTGCAGGGGCCCGAGGGATGCTTGGGAGGGGGTTTTCAAGGGCTCAGCCTGGCTCTGTTCTCTCTGTTAAGAGCCATCCCTTCCATGAATCTTCGGTTTCTTCACCTTTACGTGGGGCATCATCATACACTTTATTTGAAGCTGATATTGATTAGTCATTACTTATTACATGCCAAGACTTTTGTGGGGTGCACATGCATTACCTCACTTCATTCCATCTGTGAGCTCAGTACTCTTACTTCTTCTTTATAGATTAGAAAGCCAAAGTTCAGAAAGCCTGAGCAGCATGCACAAGATAAACAGACCAAAGATCGCAAGATTACCAGCGTGGAGGTGGTAGGGATGGGTCCTGAGTCCAATCTGCCTGACACTGCCTCTGTCGTGCCCTGGGTGTGGTGTGACATATGTTAAAGGCCTCCCATCTTGAGATCTCAACTGCCTCATCTATGAAACAAGGGACTGGACATATGTGGCTTAAAGGGGACCTTTATACATGACACGTGTGTAGCTGTCTTGAGGCCCCACAGACCCCAAATGTGTACCTTGGATTGAGCTGCCTTTGAGTGTTTCACTCCTCACCAAGATCTGTATTTGTAAGAAAAAAAGTCATGGTCCACACCAAAGACCTCCAGTACCTTCTTCTTTCACCCAAGGTAAAAGCAGAATACTAACCTAGGACAGATGCCCTGCAGCCTGGGAGCAGCAGTGTGTAGTGAAAGCTACCCCAAAGGGTCCAGGGCCCGAGGGAAGGGTGAGAACAGCTAAACTGGCTAAAAGGACTGGACTCCAGGGTCAAACCTGGGGGATACCAATACAGGATTGGAAGTCAGCTGAAGCCTGACTTTTAAAGTGTCTACATGTAACACAAGTTTGCTTCATTTAATATACAAAGAACAGTTACATATCAATATGAAAAGTCCCAATACTACAATGAAAAGTCTCAGACAGTTCTCAAGAATTAGAAAAAATGACCAATATGAATTTGAAGGAAAAGTCCAGCCTTGTAGGAATCAGAGAAACGCAAAATAAAGCAATAAAAACCACCTAAAAGTAATCTTGCAAAAAGAAAAAAGGTCTAGCTGCGATGAGATGAAGCCCCAAGAGCTCACTACCAGGGGAGAGGAACACTGACACCTGGGGGAGGCAGTCAGCAAAAATATAAGCGTGGTGGGTTTGCAAGACACGCAACTGTCCCTTCAACAAGGAACTTTTGAGTAAAAGGGGGACAGAGAACAAACCTATTGAAAGAAACTTAACAGCCATTAAAAGAAACTTAACAGCCACTATCAGCCAAAAGCAATGGATGTATCTTATTTGGGTCCCACAAGCCAGATGTAAATACAGGACATGATCAGGAACATTTGAATGACTGGCAATTTGCTAATGTTACAGAATTTCGGTCCATTTAAGAGTGAGACAGGATATTCCAGTTATGTTTCACAAGAGTATTTATCTCCTGATCTCTTGGAGGTCCATTGAAAATTATTATTGCTGGAAAAACCTGACACGCAGAATTATCTTTAAAATAATCCAGGAAGGGGGGAGAAGGTAGACATGACAGATAGAACAATGGGTGAAGGGGCTTCTTGGACTGTGATTTTGTAATCAAAAGATCTCAAAATCAAGTCAAGAAAAACAATGGTTGTTGACCGGAGATTAGGTTTTAAATGATAAATTCAATTGAATAAAAACAATGGAAAGAATAAATTTTGATAACACTTGAAAAAAGAAAAATGGGGGGTGGGCTCCCTGGTGGTTCAAGGGGTTAAAGCGCAGCACCATAAAGCTCTCTACAGCCACTGCAGGCTGAGTTCAATCCCCTGTCTGGGAGCTGAACACATGGTGCGGCAGACCTCTCCTCTCCTGTCTCATCCGCTGCTCCCCTCAGCAGTGTATTTCGGTGGATCTGCCTATTCTGCTCCCCACTCTGTCTCTGGTGAATCCTCTCACCCTCCATGCCCCTGCCTGAACCCCTGTCCTTGTATGCATAAATAAATAAATCTTTTTTTTTTTAAAGAGAGAACAATGGTATATTGTCTGAAATTCTGAAAGGTTATATACAAAAATGGATGAACTCCATGTGAATTGCCATTAAGATGTTTATACTTGGCTCTTTTTCGCTTGATCTGTAGCAATAAGCAAGCATAACTGGAAAGAAAGCAACGTTCAAAAAGTTGTAAACTAAAGTGTCTATACCAGTCATAGCTAAAGGGGCACAAAAAGTCAGTCTCTTGTGGGTGGCTCCTTCCTCTGGGGGAGCACAGACTTGGTTTTGTCCCCTCAGAAAATGGAGGTGGGTATTTGGGGGTGGGGTGGGGGCAGGGCAAAGGAAGGCCTTGCACTTGGGGGTTGGGCTTCATGCTGGGCAGAGTCCCAGCAGTTCTGTACTTAGTCACTGAGGAAGCCGAATCCTTGAAGCTCCTCCGCAGACAGAGAAGCTGAGGTTTGAGAGATCAGCGGTGCTCTCAGGGGAGTGCAGGTATGTTGGTACCTGTTCCCTGCAGGACCCTTCTTATCCAATCCCAGCAAGGTGGGGCTCATTCTTCCCCACTTACAGAGGAGGAAACAGCCTCAGAAGGTGATGCAAGAAGCTGCCCAGGAACGGGACTGGCTGGGGTCCTTCCTTGCAGTCACTCCCTGAAATGGACTGGGGCTAGGGATTCTATCCTAATGCAGTGCGCTTTGCCTGGGTGACTCATGTCCACTGGTTCCAAGTGGATAGCGGAGCCGCTTGACGTGGGAGCAGGGGCAGATGGCCTGGAGCAAAGGCCAAAGGGCAGAAGGTCTGGACCCTGAGTGAGGGCTCGGCCCTGGCACAGATGCGAGCCTCCCCCTCGCCGCCGGCACAGCTGGGTTGAGCAGGGGCTGCTCTGCCCCACCTGTGCAAGCTGATGGGGACATGGACAGTGGCTGTGAGTGAAAGTGCCCCCTCACCCAGGGCAGTCCAGGCCCTCAAGGGAGCCCACTGGAAGCCCTGAGACTGGCCCCTTCGCCAGACTACAGAACATCCTCAGGCCACCAGGTGGGAAGCTGTGTCCTTTCTCCTGGGGCTGCTCCCTGGCATGAATGCCTGCTGGGCATTTGGAGCAATGCCCAAAGCAGGGGGCCTGGTCTGCGCCCGGCCATTTGGACAGACCCAGACTTGCTCTGGGGTGGGTGCAGCCTGACCTCCCTAGGATACTTGTATCCGTTCATATCCTTTCTATCTGCTCTCAGTCCCTCTCTCCTGAGTTGTCTTTTAAACTCCTTTCGACCCATCACTCATAGTTCATACCCTGCGGTCTATCGCAGTCTGTCTCCTCTTCTCTTTTTATTCTCTCTCTGCTCTCTAATCCTCCTGGCCCCTCTGCCTTTATATCTTTGCTTTTTTTTTTTTTTTCTGTTTTATTTTCTCTCACCATTTTTCTGTCTCCCTCCCTGCGTCTTCCTTTTTCTCCACCTCTCTCTCCATCCCTCTAACCCTCTCTCTCCCTCTAACACTAGGACTTCCCACCTCGCCCTCGTGGGACCTTGGCCCGGCGCCCGGAGCCCGGGACCCCACTCACCCGCAAAGGCGCCCGCATCGCAGAGCAGGATTAGCCCGGCCAGCGCACAGAGCAGGGGCCGCATGGTGCCGGCCGGCCGAGCGCAACGCGGCGTCTGCCCCTGGCCGCCCTCTCCGGGATCGCGTCGGCCCGCCTGGAGGAAATGCTCGCAGTCAGAGCCAAAATTCCTGGGCGGCTCCCGGCTTTCTGGCTCCAACGAACCAGAGGCGCCTCCACACCCCCAGGGAAGCGCCGGCCCAGAGACCCCACCGGCCAGCTAGGGGGCCGCCCTCTGGGTCCCCCGTGCCTTCTGGGGTGCCATAGAAAGGGTGGGAGAGGGGCAAGCTCCAAACGGACTCTTTGGAGGGGAGGAGACAGTATTTATTCTGTATGAGCCCATCTCACAGACGTACAGACTGAGGCCTGAGAGCCGCGCACACCTCCGTGTCACTCACAGTTGTGAGACAGGATCCTAACCTCTCATGGCACGGAATTTGGAAATTGTTCTCCATTTATAAATTAGTAATTAACTCTAGTTACATCCAGCAGTGTCTGGCCTTGACAGGGCGATTCCGATGGGGTGTCACATCGGAAAGTTTCTCTAGAAACTTTGTGAACTGGTGAAGGAATAATAGTAATGTTGAAAGATATGTTTCCCACGGATCTAAAATGAGCTTGCGCTGGAGATTTTATTAACTCCTTCCTAACGAAGGGGCCCAGAAGAGCTTACAACCAGTGCAAGGCACAAAAACAGATCTGGGTTATTGGCACGAATATAAATGGAGGTAAAACTGTTTTCTTTCACATAAGAAAGGAGAGTAATTGAACCTATAAAAGGCAGAATTTGCATATCTAGAGACACGAATTACTTTGCTTTGCTCTCAATAATTTACAGGCAAACAAAGGCACAGAGGCCAATAGAGTCAGAAATATTCAGCATATACTTAAGCTGAGTACTAGACAGTGTGCCAGATAATACAAGATAGTCTTACAGAGACTGGTGGAGGACGGGGAGGGAATTCACATTTTCAAGTATTGTGTTTGTCTTCAGGGAATTTGCCCTTTAGAAACCATCAAGGTATTAATAAAAAAGTAGTTAAGTGTTGATTGACTTCTACATACACCACCTCTCTGATGGGCCCTGCACTGCCAGGCAGTGTGCATCATTCATCCATTCTGCAGCTGAAGAAATTGAGGCTCAGAGAAGTCAAGAAACTTGCTGGTGGTCACACAGCTGGTTTAACACAGCATCAGGATTTGAATCCAATTCTGCTGCCTCTGCAGCACAACCCTTAACATTAAAATAATGTCCTTGAAAATAAAAGCTGTGTCCCTTAGAATAGAAACTGTGTCCCTGGATGCCTGATTATCTTTTTCCATTCTAAGCAAACCCAGAGTAAGAGCTGGGTGGGTTTTTCTTTCTTTCTTTTTAAAGATTTACTTATTTATGCATACAAAACCTGGGTGTTTCAATGAACTTTAACTCACCCTCCCCGCCTCCAGCTTAGAATACAATGGCCAAACCCTCACCCACCAGACAAGTGCAAAGAATAAAAGTTGTTTAGTGGAAACCAAAGCAAAAACTGTGACCTTAACTTTTGTGCTGCTGAAACTTAGGTGCCCCTCCTGGCTACTGGAGGGGGACCCTTCTCTCCAGTCCCTTTCAAAAGGATGTCTTGTTTGTCAAGGACCCCATTTGGGTTCACTGGTGCCTTGCCTCTCTGCCATCTCTGTCTTAGGCTGTGACTGTGTAATTAATTACCCAATGCAGACACCACCCAACCAGTGGTCCTCATTTCTTCTCCCTCCTTAGCAAGATAATAATAGCACAAGGCATAACAATTCCAGTTCTGAATCATCAGATCTTGGACAGAGACTTGAATTTAATGTTTTTAAAAGCCTTCTTGGGGATTAGGATAGCCAGATGAGCTGGCTCAAAAGCAGGATTTATTTTAGGAAAATGCCAAGAATTTCTCATACATCCTCTGGTATTGTTGCCAGGTGAGAAGTTGTCAAAGAACTGCCAAACGCATAAGGACTCACATAGCTCAGAATGAGTGGGCTACCTAATATTTTGAATTTTCAAACAAAGGAACTACAAATACAATACTGTCTTGTGGTAGAGTTAGAGCATTCAAGCTCATAGAAAAAGACATGCAACTCCTCCTGGTCAGTAGATCCTCAAGCCTGGTGAGTCTCCTCAGTTGGGGATAGACATTCCCTAGCTAGCAAATATACACTCGGACACAAGCAAATACACTTGGGATTAAATAACAGATATATTTAGGATTTGCTTTCACATTCATATTAATCTTAGTCATAGCATCCATTCTTGAAGATCATTCTATGTCAGTGCACATAAATCCACTTCTTTCCTTGGAAGAGCTGCAAAATAGCCCATGAGTAGATGCACCATCATTTGACCAGTAGAGTAGGGTTTCATGTTTGTTCCCTGCCTCCAGCCTCGCCTCCCCTATAAAACATGCCTCAATGAACATTCTTTCGCCTGCATCTTCACATACATATTCTGTGCATGTGTATTTCTACAAGGCTAGCTTCCTGGAAGAGAAACCACTGAGT